GAAATTAATAGAAAAGATTTTAATAAAATGAGGCAGCTATTTTTTAATACTTATAAACATAAATTTCAAATATTGCATATACTATGCCATATCACTTATTCATATATTTTTAATAGCTGAAATAAATTAAAATAATTTTAAATAAATAAATTTAAATAATAATATTAGGAGATGTATAAAATAATACATACCGGTAATAATTAGGCTTAAAAGGTCCAGCCTTATTAAGTCCCATATATTTGGCTTGTTCATCCGTTAACTCCGTTAAGTGCGCATCAAATGTCGGTAAATGTAATGATGCCACATACTCATCTATTGAATAGTATTATTGTATTACAGTTTGTACATTGATGCAATGTTTAATGAAACACAAAGATATTTTATACTTACCCATTTTTTTTGGTAACAGATAAACGTCACTTTTATACCGTCCTGGAGGTGCATTGAAAAGTTCAATCAGTGCTAATGCTTGGGTAGCAGCTGTAATCGACACAACAAACGAAGGAATACTGGAACAAGACAAGTTGACTAACCGGCCTTCTGCTAATAATACGATGCGCTTTCCATCTGGCCAGATAACATGATCCACTTGAGACCTTACTTTTTCCCAAGTTAAATCGGGCGTGCGTAAACTGTTCTGTTAAGAACATATTAAAGGAGTCTTAATGTTTTACCAATATATTTCTTTTTTGTTCTGAAATATAAGAAATACGAATTTTTCCCTACACTCTAGTTGAAAATCTAATCGAATTTTAGAAGAATTAACTGTAGATTGTTAGAATTTGAACGTACAATATCTATTTCGGTATTACTGTGTCCCATATTGCACACTACACAGCCATTTTTCATTTTATCCATGTGTTCACGCGTAACTACATTTTTATTGCCAGTTGCGGTAATAACGATGTCTACATTTCGAATAACTTCATTTAATTTCATTACTCTAAAACCATCCATACTGTAAATAATATAATGTATGAATAATCAAAGTTTACATGATATATTTTTATTTTGTTTCAGATTATCTACCTTGCTTGTAAAGCACAAATTGGATCGATTTCAGTTATATAAACAATACATCCTAAACCTTTAAGAGCTTGACAACAACCTTTACCAACTTCACCATAGCCACAAATTACAACCTGTTTTCCACCAAACATAATATCTGTGGATCTTTTCAAACTACAATAAGATACATTAATAAATATAATTAATGGTAGAATTTCAGTACATTTCAACATTTCGATAATTGATGTTTAATTAATTTACCTATCAATAATACTTTCGCGGCAGCTATAAAGATTATCAAATTTGGTTTTTGTTACACTATCATTAACATTCATGGCAGGAACGGATAATTTTCCTGCTTTTGATAATTGATATAATCTATGTACACCTGTTACGCTCTCTTCGACGATTCCTAGAAATTAACATTATTATTATTATTATTATCTATTTTATTGTAAAAAAAAAAATGATAGACAAACCTTGAATCATCTTAAACATAGCATTATATTTTTTGAGCATTAAATGTGTTGCATCTCCACCATCATCTAATATCATATTAGGTTGCCAATTTTCAGCAGCTACACATTTATCAATACACCACCAAAAATCTTCTTCTGTTTCACCACGCCAAGCGAAAATTGGATAGCCAGCATGAGCAAGGGCAGCAGCCACTTCATTTTGAGTAGAATATATATTACATGCTGCCCATCTAACTTGTGCTCCCAAATGAACTAAAGTTTCAATAAGAACAGCAGTTTGAGCATTGATGTGAGTGCATCCCACAATTTTAGCATTTTTCAATGGCTGTTTAAAATAATTTTTTATTATATATATTAATATCAATTAACTTTTTGTTTTTATTGCAGATAATTTATATACCTTATCTTCGGCAGCGCGCTTACGAAGTGCCATAATTCCCGGCATTTCTTGTTCTGCTATTTCTATCTCTCTTCTACCAAATGCATGTTGATTAATATTGCGTACACAAAAATCTATAAAACCATTCTCTGTTTTTTGAATTTTTTCTCGAGGTGATACATCATCTTCATCTGATGAACTTGCTGTATAAGATGCTAATATAATAAAAGAAAAATAAATTTATTATATTAAATTAATAATAATTCTTTTTAATTATAGATACAATATAAAAATGAATGCATTCATACCAGAACTGTAACTATCTGTGCTACTAGCTGACAAAGAGCGACTGCGATAACGACTGGACTTTTTCAAGGCTCCGGACTTGGAATCCTAAACATTTAAAAGATTAAATCATATATCATTATAAAATTATGAATATTTTATCTCAAAAAGGGCTGCAATAGATGGAAATAGACTACAAACATAAAAATGTAAATGAAGCTATTTTATTTGATAGAATGGATACACAGTTTAATATAGACGAAATTTAATAATTTTTTCTATATATATTTCGATTTATGTTACATAATTATTATATTACTTATATTACTTTATTAGACTAATACAATAAATGAATGAATTATTCATAACTTCAAAATTATATTTTAGGGAAAAGTCGTCTTATTATCCTGTGTTATTTGATGAGAGGACAAAATGATAAATCCATTGGCACATATCATATTTATGTAATCATAGGGATTAAAGCAGCCCTGAGGAAATTGTAAGGATTGCTTTATGGAAAGGAATACAAGTTTACTTGTTTTGTACACGTATATTCTTACTTACTAATTTTGTTCTCGCGCCGTGAAAGGCACTATTTGATGCCTCTAAGCTCTGAAATCACAACAACCACCATTTCATAATTCAAATTGGGTCAAATTTTTATAATACAGTCCGTAGTTTGGTACAAAGCTCCCAAAGGTTGTATTTGTATGTAAAATTCAAATTACATAAAATATCAGTTTTATGTATGTAAAGATCTCCCTTTTTGGTTTATAATTATTCCTCATATATTTATTTATTACACTCATTTATTCTATAATGCTAATTGTGCCACGCCTATATGGTGTATTTAGGCTTATAATGAGCGATGAATGAGTGATTGGTACCGAACCTACGGACTACTGTGTGAATAATGCTCTATATGTAAAATAATATAAGCGCCCTGATAGTAGGTACTATGTATAGCATGCAAATCATTTCTTAATTCTTGCATTATCAAAGTAAAAATTATAAATACATTATGTACCAAATTCATCAATGATTTAAAATCATTCAAGATGTTAAAAGATATATATATATACATATATATATATATATATATATATTTATCATAATACAATTAAAATTATAAAGTACAATAGCATAATATAAGAAAAAAAAAATATATATAAAAGAATTAAATATTTTTTTGTATTTTGTACACAAAAAGATATAAAAAAAGAGATATAATTAAAAGAAAATATATTAAAAAATGTTAAAAATCTTTTGTTTTTTAAATTTCATTAAAATAATAATGAATAATAATAAATTTTCTATTTTTATATTATTTTATTTTATAAATAAGTAAAAAAAATAATATAAAAAATTTTCAATTATATGAAACATATGAAACATTTTTATTTTGAAATATAAAATATCAATAAACAATATATAAAATATAAAACAAAGCAAAGAAGCTTTGAAAGATACAGTAATTGTTTCTTATTGTCTTAACAACTGGTCTTATGTATATGAATTATTTACAAGTTTCATATCAATTATCATAAAATTATTTCTATTGTGTAACATTAATGAAGTGTTAATTATAGTAGTTTTTTAAAAAATATGTTTGTGAGTCAAAAGTTATAAATTATTTTTTTTATTATTCTTATGATTATACATTTAAAATAAAAATTTCAAATAACATTTTATACTTATTGGCATCATATGATTAATAAATTTTAAAATTTTAAAATTAAAAATTATTTTTAGTAATAAATTTATGAAATTTTTTCATAATGAAGTTTAATTTGCAATAACAATAGGTGGAAGTTATTTGTTTGACAATAAACAGAAAGTATATATAAGACCATACATCAATTAATACCATGTGTTGCATTACATAATAGCAACATGTGGTCATAAGACTTGAAAGGGTTGGGCTAAGATGTGACAAAAAAAAAACAAAACACATGTTAAAAGAGATAAAGATAAATCGAAGGTTTTAAATAAATAATTTATAAAATAGAAAGATAAAAACAATAACGAAAATAAAATTCACTAATATACTATCCTTTTATTTTCTATAACAATTATATAAATTAAAAAAAATATATATTTTATTTTTTATAAATAATTTAATTAATTAAAAATTTAGTACGGCGGTAAAATACAATACTCATGTAATATATTATCATGATTTTATATTATTATAATTCAAGTTAAAATAATTCATTTGTTTAATTATATAGGTGACAGAATTTTTAAATTTACCTTGTTGTTTGATGCTGGATCAGTGACAGGACCATCAGTAACGGTATTTCTAGCCTCTTTTCCTGACGACGTACTATTCACAGCATCCCCGCTGTCAGCCATTTTTAATTCGAAATCACACTAGTACATTTACTCAACGATAGATGGTGCTTTTATGCTGTTACAGGAGCGTAATTATGGTGTGCTTATAGTCGGATACTTTTTGTCGATATTGTTCATAAATAATTGATCAATTTAAATAAATAATTATAAAATTGAAAAATCATTATTCTAAAACTTAAAAAAATATAATAAATTTGCTTCAATAATATATATAAATCTATTTTATTAATATACTTAAAATTCTTAAAAATATGATATTCTTATTTGTTTTAAAATATATTAAAAATATTTTTAATCTATTTATTTTTCTTATTATACAAAAATTTTAAAAATTATTAGTAATAAATATCGTATTTAATTAAGTGAATATAAATAATAAATATAATTTAATAATTTATTTATAAGAAAAAGAGAATTTATTTAAAAAATAAATGAATCATAGAAAATATGCTAGATACGGCCTTGTTCTTGTTCGACATATACTATCTAGTCTGAAAACATTAATCCTTGTGCCCACCCACCAAAATGGCTCCTTTATGGGGCAATTCTAGGTGTTTGACGTGAAGTTATTTACACACCTGGAATTAAGCCTTCATTGAGACAAGTTGTAGATGTCTTTCTGTGCACCGTGTGCGTGAAACAGATCAAGAAAGAGTGCGTGTTCTATAGCAGTGAAGAATCGATCGAGTTCCTGAAGAAAAAATTATACAGGACGGCCGGTTGGTATAATAGTTCGCTTGCTGAACAAAAATCTGTACAGGTAACATAGCCTTTACTACATCGAGTAAGATATTTTGATTAGTTTTCTGATTTTGTTTAGATAAGCTCCAGCATATTATACATATTGATTATATATCTTATTAAAATTTATTGAATCCCAAAACTATCATCGGTGTTAAAATTGACCGCGGTTGTGTACAATGCATATTGATCTATTCGTAGCTGTCATTTGTATATCGAATAATTTGTTTCTACTGCATGAATCATGTCTCGTAAATTTTATATGAAGTCTATAACTTTAATTTGTTTCTTTTATAAGACAAAACTATTTATTCCATTATGATAGAAATACTCTGTCATTATTACAAAATATTTTCGTAATTTTATTAAAAAATAATCGTTTATTTGAAACTATTTTTAACATTAATATTCATGAAAAATTATTGTATTGATCTTTTTATTATTAAAAAAAAAGAACAAGTTTTGTATCATATATGTAAAGATTAATGCAAAAAATTCTTTATAAAGAGATTTTTGATTTCCGTTTCATTGAATCCATAACCTGTATAATGTAGGAGATAATTTATTTCTGTTTCTAGGAATATAATTATAATTATACTATAAATTAGTATAAAAATTAATTTTGTATATAGTGACTACTTATTATTTGATTCATCTCTTATTTTAATATTACTATGAAGTGTATTTCTCAATATAATTTATGATATATATATATATATATATATATGATAGATATATATATATATATATATATATATG